GATACAATCTTCAGAAGTACGCAACTCCTGAAAGTGTCAAACTGTTTTTTTTTTGTCCTGAAGTCCTGTAGTGGGTCTTGAACCCACACTCAAAGGAATCAGTGGAAAGATAGCTACCAACTGAGCCACAGCTCTCAGCAGGGTTTTAAGCTTTTGATTTACTACATGATTAGTTCCTGCTCTTGGCCCGAAGCACTCAGAACTGAAGTAAGGCACTCAAAGTGGAAAGCTGCAGATGAGCGGGAGGATTATCTACGCATACCTCATGACCTAAAGAAGAGCCAGCCTAATGAGTTATCTTGTCCATGCCAGCTAATGGTTTCTGTTTCATAAACCATCTCAAACTGTCATCTATGCTCTGTGCAGCAAAATGTGCTTGGAGCAGACTCAAAGCTTAAGCTGAAATGATTGATTGTGGAAATAATGTACAATAAAGTAGAATGCATTAAAGGTAAACCTGGAAATCTGTTTTGCCAGCAGAACACAATCTGTACATTTTACTGTGAATATTTCTTCCCAGACTGGTCCGGCAGCTAATTTAGTTCTGTGGCAAATTAATGAACCTGTTTGCAGTAATTCAGTGGATTGCAGGAAACTGACTAATATCACTTAATATTGATGTTTTCCAGGTGCTTTACATGCAGGCATTGAAATTAAATCAAAACCTTTTTACGAAAGTATGTATAATGTGCAGGAGCATAGAAGTCTTTGGTAGCCAATGATCCTTTAAATGTGCATCCGTCAGTGGAAATCAGACATGTTTCTTAACCGTCATTCAGTTTGCAAGATCTGAGATTGTATTCACCAATGTTTACATCTAAAGCTGTCTTCAGGTTGTTAAAATTTTGTGTAAATTTCCATCACATCCTGGTACCAGTTAATGCAGCTTTAAGTGAAACCAGCTGCAAACCGGAACCTGGCGGTGATGTCAGAGGTTTCCTCTCATTGTAAAAATTTGCAGGTGTGTGTATGGTTCACACATTAAATAATCCAGTCAAGGAATAATCAAATAAATACATCCAAACGCCATGAATGGATTTCAGTTCCACTTGTGTGCGAAGAATTCTGTATGAGTGGAAATTTGTTCTGCACCGTTTTGAGCCTGAAATAAACAGTGTGTGGAGCAGGTGTAATGGAGATCCTCCCAAAATTTGATCTGGGGCTTACTCAGCATATTGTCAGAGTTCTGTGAATGCACATAGGCCCCCATGGGCTCTCCCACATCAATCAAAGGCTGGCCAAGAAATCCTCTTGGTGAACTGCCACTCTGTATTTCTACCTGATGTGACAAGTACAACATCGGTAAACATTACTAATGTTATAGTGAAAGATTCAACAGATGTTTATTACAGTTCCTAACGTATACAATAGTACAGTCACAGGCACTTCAGTGTTTGGGATAATATTAAACTATTCAATTACATGCTTTTATCAGTGTGACATGCTTCTTGTGGCCCCAATTAAAATGGAGACCAAGTCCTTTGAACACAGGCAGTGATATAGTGATGATATCATGAGCATGTTTCTGCGATATTCATTGTGAAGCATTACACAACAGTTGGATTCCAAACCACTGTCCTTGCCTCTGCTTGCTCACTCACAAAATTAATGTCATACTCACCCAATCCACACTCGCTCACTCACTCTCATACTCCCACTGGTGGTGTGGATCTCATCCTGACCCTGGGCCTCTAGCAAGTGCAGTGCCTTGAGCTCCTTCTGTGGCCCCTGTTTAGCTGCCAGCACTCAGCAGGTGAGCATTCCTCTATCGAGGTCCTGAATTCTGAGAAGGCCTAATGTCAATATCATCACGTCCCATCTCCCCCAATGAATTAGAACAAAGAACAAAAGGACAAAGAAAATTACAGCACAGGAACAGGCCCTTCGGCCCTCCAAGCCTGCGCCAATCCAGATCCTCTATCTAAACCTGTCACCTATTTTCCAAGGATCTGTATCCCTCTGCTCCCTGCCCATTCATGTATCTGTCTAGATACATCTTAAATGACGCTATCATGCCCGCCTCTACCACCTCCGCTGGCAACGTGTTCCAGGCACCCATCACCCTCTGTGTAAAGAACTTTCCACGCATGTCTCCCTTAAACTTTTCCCCTCTCACCTTGAAATCGTGACCCCTAGGAATTGAGACCCCATGCTGGGAAAAAGCTTCCTGCTATCCACCCTGTCTATACCTCTCATGATTTTGTAGATCTCAATTAGGTCCCCCCTCAACCTCCAACTTTCTAATGTAAATAATCCTAATCTACTCAACCTCTCTTCATAGCTAGCGCCCTCCATACCAGGCAACATCCTGGTGAACCTCCTCTGCACCGTCTCCAAAGCATCCACATCCTTTTGGTAATGTGGTGACCAGAACTGTACGCAGTATTCCAAATGTGGTCGAACCAAAGTCCTATACAACTGTAACATGACCTGCCAACTCTTGTACTCAATACCCCGTCCGATGAATGAAAGCATGCCGTATGCCTTCTTGACCACTCTATTGACCTGCGTTGCCAGCTTCGGGGTACAATGGACCTGAACACCCAGATCTCTCTATGCATCAAGAACTGTTAAGGATTTCATGCTTTTCCCCTGAGAGGTTGGCCTGGTAAAATCGAGCCCTGAAACAGGTTTTGCACAGATAATGAGAAGATTTTCAGATTGGGGAAGACATGTGAATTTAATCTGGTCTGCTTTCTTCAGTCACAAAGAAATAGTTATAGAATTGTGAGAATACCTTTTCTAGTGTTGTAATTGGAGCTAGCGTCCAGTACATTTTATTTTCTTTGCTGCTTCATTGTAACTAGTAATGTAAAGCACCATTATCTCCAGACAAACCCAACACAATACACTCTACTGTATTAAGTCAGGAATTGGGATACGAAGTGGATAAATATTGTCAAAAATGTTTGTCATGTATGTCTTGAGGGATAATTGGGGATGTCTTGGCACTCCTTTGAAAATTAACCAAGTTGGATCTGTATAGCACCAAGAATCACCAAGTTACTTTGAAAAATGTTACTCATGTTAGTACAGCAGAATTCTAAACTTCCCTGACATAAGCAAGGGAATGAAAAAGATTTAACTGTCTGTAGACTTCTGGTAAGTCAGACACTGATTATAACTTTTATTGTTATTCATTTAGAATCTGAGTTGTTAATACTTTCAGGGATTTTGATTTGTATTTCTCAGTCAATGGCTAAAAAACAAATCCAGATTATACAGTTGTTCCCATGAAGACTTCGCTTCTTAATCTACAAGTATTGCGCAACCCAATGCCTTAACAATACAAGGTCAGATTCCCATTCCTCCTAGAGGGAATCCGGATGCTTCCTAGAAACAAGTGTTCCTCCCCAAGCCTGGCCTCCAGCAATCAGATGGTACAGCAATTTAATTTTTTCTGTCATCGGATGCTACTCCCACCAACTTGGAGCAGATAGCCATGATTGTCGGTGGCTGGAGAGTTGTGAAGCACAATTTTTATTCAGGTGGAGGGGGGAAGCAAGGAGATCATCTATGAGGAGAGATTCTCAATTTTACAAGTGATAGCAAAGGCATTGGGTGAGCTACCTGCCTGTGGCCTAATTTATGCCCTTCAGTGGGCAATGAATAGTTATATTTAATGGGTTACATGAGAGGTCTGCCCATAATATGCAGCCAGCAGATTTGTGCATAGGAGTTGCTAGCCAATGAAAGGGCCTTGCCTTCTTTCGAGGTCCCTGGTGCCAATTGAAGTGACCCTTTACCATTTTCCCTCTTATCCACCATGCCCCACTTCCCTGTTCAATATGCCCCCATATACCCCACTAAGATCACCAGCTCTGATTGGACATATTCCTGGAGGCTTCATCATATGTCTCTCTCTGCTTTCAACCATCCCACTATCCCAATCCATTGCCAGTATCTTTAATATAATAAATCAAAAGTATGCAAAGGAAACAGACAATTACTTTTGTTTCTTTTTTGTGACTTTTTTTGAGTTTGCTCAAAACAGTCTCCAGGAGATTAATCTTGGATTCCTGGAGACTCTTCAACAATCCCAAAGGATTGATAACTGTAACCCTTACTCCTTGTACCCCTGACCAAGGCCTGCCAGTCCAAGATCCCAGCCTTGGCTTGACATCTAGGCCCATCACTGAATGCCTCTTCCTTTACCTAACTGGTGGCACTTCTTCCTGGACAGGAACAGAGACAGAAATCTCGCCTCAAATAAATTAAAGGCCCTTCATCCAAAAAAATGAGCCAGCCTACTGGAAGTGGGCTTGGACTTGACATCTATGCTGCAATGCAGGGAGCAGAGAGCTCTCTTTTAGCAGGCAATCTCAATACATAGACTATTTGCAGTAATGGTGCATTGGTGCAGACAGCATTGTGAAGCTAGTCGAACAAAATAAAAATCAACAGAACCTTCTAGAATACATTTAATATAAGACATCATTATCCTGCTTATGCCTGTCTCGATTGGAACCCTTATAAGACTGTATTTCTGTGTTATTCTACTCCTGACACTGTGCAAGAGAATGTTTAATATAAAAATCACCTTGGGTACAATATCACCACTGCCAACTTAACATTGCTGAACTAGTTGGCTCCTGCAGTAGTAATACTATTATAACATAAATTTTGATAAGTTGTTTGCTTTTATGCCATCAACATAAATCTCTAAGTTATGCTAATATGACGATAAAATGATCTTTCTCTCTGATCGGGAGAGAAGCAATTGGTTAAACATTACTTCAGTCAAGTTTTACTTTACATGAAAGGGAATTATATTTCCCATGCAACATGGTATTTGTATGTGCAGCTCTAACAGATGAATTTCTTCTGGACCAAGCAGGGAGTTCATTGGGGATTGGCTATTCACGTTAACATTAACAAGTATCCAGGTGATGTTGTCTGAGTAAACATGAATATTGATAAGAGGATGAGCGTGGACCACCACTGCTGTATGCTTTCCTGTGGGAATGTACTTTCAACAACAAATTATGTTTTCTCTCCAGACGGCTGGAGCAAAACTCAATCAAAACCATCCCTCCTGGAGCCTTCTCACCCTACAAGAGATTGCGAAGAATGTGAGTAGAAGAAAATGTATTACAAATCTTTAGAAGATTATTCAGCATGTGTTCCATTAGTAATGTTAAGTGTTTTGGCAATTTGTAGATTGTAATGGCTGACTGGGCTATCTGATTTACAGCTTAAATCTTTCAATGTGTTGTTCAATTTGCAAAGTTTTTTGTGTGTTTCATTCATGAAAATTTATGAAATTGAAAACCTTCATTACTCTCCTAAAGACCTTTCCATCTTATATGCCCCTTCCCTCCCAACTAATGCACTAAAAGGTGCCAAAAGCACTTTGATCATTAGTTCAAAGGATTTTCTTCATATGAGCCTGCTCAGGATGGATGCAATTGAAAACTTTGAAACCTATAAACATAGCCTCAACTTGTTCCCATTTTCTGAATTTCATGGAGGTAGGCTTTAGGGAACAGGCAATGAACTTCCTCTCAAGGTCATTTAAATATGATAATTAAGCTCATGCCTCAAATTTTACCTTTTACATTTAATTGCTATGTCCTCAGTTTCTCAGAGATTGGAAAACAGAACACTGCAGCTGAGGGCTGGTTAAACTGGTTAAATCTTGTGGCCAATTGCCTTTCCAGAACTGTTTGTAGACCAGGAGGACAAGCATGCTGTCCTCCAGTTGTTCAAGCAAACCTGCTTCCCATTCCATGAAAGACTTTCACTGGGACCAGAATCTATTCCTCATCCTGCTTGCTGACCCAGCCTCGTCATCCAAAATTTCCTCCAACCTTCCATTCCAACCATTGAGTAATAACACCCTGAGACATTGTTCTCCCTAGAATGAAACAGCCCCACAAACTGAGACAAACATTTTGTCGTTCAGAAATTTCGAATAATTTATACTTAACAAGGTGAGAGTTGATGTCTGAGACCCCAGAAGATATTATCTATGAATTCCTGGGAATGGATTTTATGATCTCCATCCCCAGGAGGTGTGTTTTTTGGGTGAATCGCTCAGGTGGCTATCCTACTGCTTTCTTGTTCATCCCTGACCCATTCCCCATGTTACACAGGATCGGTAATGTGCCCACTAATCTCAGTCAACCTTAAACCTATTGAGAACCTTAGGAAGCCATTTATTACAAACTTAAAGTTTGAATCCATTTCCATTGTTGTAAAACACTAGGCAGTTGGAGGCAGGCGAGAGAGTAAAAGCTGTTTCTTTTAAACGACTTTGTGGAAAAGGCAGGAAAGGCGGGGAAGGGGAACATCATTCAGGGTGTGCCCTGGCTTCATGCACATCGGGTGTCAAACCCCTCCAAAATGTTACCTACTCTGTTCCTTTCCAAAGGTTTCCAAATCCTGTCTTCCTCCCTATACTCCCTGACCTCTCCCCACCTAATATCTCTGACTTACCCTTCTCTGGGATCCATGTTTGTTTTCCCCCATAGTGCCCACCATTAGATTCTGTTGCTGCTGGACCCCTGGAGATGCCAGCCAAGCAGATGGTCAGTAGCTTTGGAGAACGGGACGTTCTCCAACTGTTTGGTGCCAGTCCAACAAGTGTTAAAAACCGCTTGGAGCTCATCTATGACTCTTATGAGAGACCTTTTTTGAAGAGGTTCAATTTAGGAACGTCTTTCCTTCCCTGGGAGAGGAGAGAGTGAACTCCCCACTACCACTTCCCCCATGAAATCCAGTCCATGATCATTTAAAACAACTGTGGAAGATTAGTGTGCAACAAACTCCAGACGTTTTATTTTGTACTAAAAGGTATATTTTAGAAGGGGAGAGATAAGAAAAGTCATTGACATTTGCAGGTTGTGTAGTCATTATTCCCAAAAAACAAAAATAGCATCTAAAAGTTCAATTCAAATGAGAAAACCTTCTTATATTGGAAACAGTTAATAATGTGATGCACTGGCCATGAATCCTAGTCACCAATGCATGCATTAACAATAGTAAAACACATCGTAAGCTGTGAAGCAGACACCACAGCAAACCAACTGATTCATGTGCATACCTCGCAGTTCCACAGTCCACTGCCTGCCAGGCAGAATCTCAGTATTTTATATATATATAGTACACGACATCTTCAAAGGTGAACTTTCTGAAAGGCAAAGTACAATATCTCCATTCATTCCAAAAAAGTTAAACAATGCAAAACAGGTTTAAGGCATTGGTGGTGCCTGTTGTGTAAAGGCTTTATGACCATGGAGCAATCTTGTGATAATGCCGTAGAGGTACTTCTCACTGGCTATATATAACGTAGTGCTGACAGGGTTAAGTAAATTGAAGAGCAACACACATGGAGAGACAGGCAGAAATCTGAAGTCTAGCTACGTGAATGAGAGAAACATGTGCAGGGAAGCAAGTGGAATAGAAAGCCTGGCATTAGGAAGTGGAGTTCATGGAATAGTCCTTTAATAATGAAACAGTACAAATGGAGCCTGCTATATAACTCTTAATACGTAGTAAACACTGTAGTAAAGAAGTCCAAGCCTAACGATAGTTTTTGACCTTGCTCTCTCTTTTGATCAGTCTGTTTTGAAAACAAAAACCACACAAGAAAAAGTGGAATGTGTTCAGTATGTGTGAGCCAGTTGTGTGCACTTGAATATACTGTACCTTTTTAAGATAGTAGTTTACATTTGAATGACTTATGAAGACCCTGTTTTTCTTTTCAGAGACCTGAGCAACAACCACATTTCAGAAATTGCACCGGATGCTTTCCAGGGATTGAGGTCACTTAACTCCCTGTAAGTTTCTTGGAAATTTGTAGGACTGCTGGAGTTTACTTGTTTTGAGAGTAACTAATTTTCCTCATGACATGTTTAACAAGTTTGACACGTAAAAAAAATGTTTGCCAGTTGTGCATTTTAAATTATCTTAGTATTGTAACACGAAATTTATACTAATTACATATATCAACCAGACTCCAAATTATATAAGGGTTCAACAAACAATTGCGCTAAGATGAGTATTTTCATTTTAATTACCATTTTTTGATTCTCCATTTAGCCCGAGCTAAACATATTTGTCACAAAGTTTTGATTACAGCACACATATGTAGACATTAAGAAATCAAACGCTGTGTGGAAGTCTGGATCCATGGGTGTGTAGGAGAGGAGGAAGGCTTAAATTACGGGACATGAGAGCAGTTTTGCTCATTCTATGTTCGGGTAAACCAAAAGGAATTTTCCAACAGAGGTTCAAAACTTCCATAAATAACTTCAGCAACATTGTAGCCACAATGCCTAAGTGAAGCTGGTGCCTGCGGTTTGGGGGAATTTTACACATGCCAACGTGAAAAACAACTGGTGACAGCTCACGTTAGCATGAGCTTCGTTTTTGAATAGTACTTTTATGTATCTCTCTCTCTCCCGATCCTTTAAGGATTAGGGTTCATTAACCTTTCCTCCAATATCTGATTCTGTTCACTCAGTGTTGAAAGGGTAAAGCAGACTGTGACTGTTTGGATCAGCAGATTTCCATTTTCCATGGTGGAAAATGATATTCTGTAATTTTGATTTAATTCTGTAATTTCTGTTGTTTTGAATGTTAAAGTGTACAAATGGGCCGTTAGCCACTGGACCCTGGAGCTTGTCTGCACAAAGGAAACACAATCAACTCAGGCTGAAAAGGCTGCATAGTGTCTCCTCTTGGTAAAACACATTGCAAAGTGTGAAGAAGACAAAGATGAAACGCATGCAGTGAAAGCATTCAGAAGGATATAAAATGGCTAGGGATAGCAATGGAGACAAAGAAACGGGGAAGATGTCTTATGAAAGTCATAAAATAGGATTCAAAAAGAAATGGACAGACCTATCCCCTCTGAAATCAGTTTACCCAAAGGAATATGAGTGGGCTGTTCAAGAGTAGTGACTGAGCTGGCCACACATTGGCATTGTACCTTGGTTCTGTTTTCTAATCTTTCGTGATTCATTATCCATGTCTTTGCATGAATTAGTTGCATTTAGAGAAAAGTGCTGGGTTTGACTTGTCCTCCATGTTTTCTTTCCTCCATTTCCCACAGACAGTTGCCTGGCCACTTCCTGCCACATGCCTGAGTGCATACAGCTGAGATTCTGCATGTTGCCAACACAATGATACCCAAAATAAATACATCTGGGCAATAGAACAGAATGCAAAATATAGTGTTACAGTTACAGGGAAGGTGCAGAGAAAGATCAACTCTAATATGTGAGAGGTCTGTTCATAAATCTGATAACAACAGGGATGAAGCTGTTCTTTAATCTGTTGGTATGTTTTTTCAAACTTTTGTATGTTCTGCCTGATGGAAGGGGGTGAAAGAGAGTATAAGCAGGGTGGGATGGTCTTTCATTATATTGGCTGCTTTCCTGAGGCAGCGGGAAGTGTAGACAGAGTCAATGGAAGGAAGATTAGTTTTTCTAATGGACTAGGATGCTCTCATAACTCTCTGTAATCTCTTGCCATACAAAGCTGTGATGCATTCACATAGGATACTTTCTATGTTGCATAAATATTGATAAGAGTCATTGTGGACATGCTAGATTTTCTTAGGCTTCTTCGGAAGTAGAGACCTTGGTATGCTTTCTTGACTGTATTATCGACATGGATGGACCAGGATAGATTGTTGGTGATGCTTACACCTTGGCACTTCAAGCTGTCAACTATCTCCACCTCAGCGCCATTGATGCAGACAGGGATGTGTATTCGACTCCACTTCCTGATGTCAGTCACCAGCACAGGGTGCACATGTGGCACAGGGTTGATAGTGGTCTTCTTGAAGCAGATGGGAACCTCAGATTGGAGTAAGGTGAGGTTAAACATGGCTGAAAATACTCCCGCTAGCTGGCCCCACAGGATCTGAGTGCACAGCCGGGGACTCCATCCGGACCCGCTGTGATCCACTTGTTCAAGGGACTTCAGCTTAGCCTCCTTTGTCGGAGTCCATGCCGTTACTCAAACTAATTTAGTTTGGTTTGTTTGGTGATTTCAGAATTTCATTTTGAAATGCTGCAATAGATGAGTTTGTTGACTGTTAGAATTAGACAGATTTACTGGACTGTCTGTTGTGCCACCCTTTCAAGCAAATGCTTGTAGCACCATGGTGATAAAACACAAAGTTATAACTACCTTTCTGCTTGTACTAGTGCTGACTACAGTTTTACAGCCTCTTGAACTTGGAGAGAAGCTGGCTTGTTACGTTGTCAACATCCTTCTCCCTTGTGCCAGTCCTTGTTGTAAATGAAATTGAGCAGGCCAAAACCAAAAGTAGTTTGGGATTATAAGCAGACAAGGCAATGATTATTACAGACAGAACCTCCCTATTTATCATATACAATACAGGACACTGCATTTCTTTCTTTCCAGTGCAGGATGCCTGGACTATTTCCAAAGAGGCAACGGGTTTTAATGCTCCCCATTCCAGTGTCACACTGCTTTTAAACCCTTTGCTGTTTGACCAGCACCATTCTGTTAATAGGTCACACAGTTTCACAAAGATTGCAGATTTTGTTTTTTTTATTCATTCCCAGGATGTGACAGTAAGATTGTAAAATATAGGAACAGATTTATGTATTCAACCCATCAAATCTGTCCTACCATTCGATCGTAGCTGATATGTTTCTCAACTTCATTCTCCTATCGTCTCCCTGTTTGCCTTGAGTCCCTTACTAATCAAGAACAAATCTATCTCTGTCTTAAATACACTCAATGACTTGGCTTCCACAGCCTTCTGCAGTAATGAATTCCCCAGATTCATCGCCCTGTGTCTGAAGAAATTCCCTTTCATCTCAATTCTAAAGATTGTTCCCTTCACTCTAAGGCTGTGCCCTGGGGTTCTAGTCTCTTCTACTAATGGAAACATCTTCTCCTTGTCCATGCCAGCCAGGCATCTCAGTATTCTGTAGGTTTCAATGAGATCCCCCCCTCATTCTTCTACCCTCCATCGAGTATAGACTCAGATTCCTCAATTGCCCCTGATATGACAAGCCCTTCATTCCTGACGTCATTCTTGTAAAGCTCCTCTGGACCCTTTCCGAAAACAGTACATCCTTCCTTAGATATGGGGCCTGAAACTGCTGGACATCACTGGTTAGGCCAGCATTTATTTGCCATCCCTAATTGTCCAGAGGGCAGTTAAGAGTGAATCACATTGCCATCAGTCTGGAGTCACATGTAGGCTAGACCAGGCAAGGACAGCAGTTTCCTTCCCTAAAGGACATAGGTAAACCAGATGTTTTTTTTCTGACAATCAACAATGGTTTCGCGATCATCTTTAGATTCTTAATTCCAGATATTTATTGAATTCAAATTCCACCATCTGCCTTTGCGGATTCAAACCCCGGTCCCCAGAACATTACCTGGGTCTCTAGTTGAATAGTCCACCGATGATACTACTAGGCCATCACCTACCCTGCCATTAGTGCACAGAGCCTTGGCTCCATTTCTAGTCGGGCTTAAATATTAGAAACAGCTCAATAAACCAAAAATGCGGTAATTCAGACTACATATGGTTTAGATACATTTTACAAAATGCTAAACATTAAGATACCACAATTTTAAATTATGCTAGGGCTTATTGCAGGCAATTGAGAATTATATTTATAGATGTTATGGATGAAATTGCATGAATGAGGCAAGACCAAGGCGGATGTGGTTTGCATGCCAACGTTTCCTTCGGCAAAAGTCTTACAGGAACTGCAAACAGCCACTTTGATGTTCTGTAAAAGTTAATTGACACCCACAAAAAAAAGTTGTAAATAAACGTTGGAGACTTAATGCTGCCTTTATTGCTTATCTTTGTTCATTATTCATTGCTTGTAATCTGTGGCCATGTTCGAATCTGTAGCTGACAAGGGCTACAAACTACTGTTCATTCATCAAAAAAAACAGGGGCCAAACTTTTCTGTTGTGTGTAATGTCCCAATATCTCTGAAGTGACAATTTGCCACCTAGCCTTAGCAAAATGATACTCTGCTTTGCAAACTAATGATAATATGACTAGTCTTCAATGCCACTCCAACCATTTCAGAGTGCTTTTCATTGAAAGACAAGATTGTTTAATTTGATTTACCAGTTTTCTTTCAAAACTCTGCTTCACATGGTTAAGATTAGCTTCTTTAAATATCATCATCTATCTGGGTTTTAGTTAATGAGACATTTCTTTATAAAGGACATTTTATCAAGGTCTAATTGATTGATCCCTCCTATTTTAATCAATGCTGACAGGTCATACTGCAGGGAGAGAGTTCAGTCACTGGAGTGTCGCAATGATTAGGCTTCAGTTAAATTAGGATGGTTAATAAAGATTGGAATATGTGAGAAAGAGTGCTGTATTATGTGATACTGCAGGTTAGATTGTATAGGAGAGTTGTACAACACTGCACTCAGACTTGGGCTTTTATTTTTATAGCTGAATAAGTGGTAATATGGAAAACTGGAGTCTATGTATAAAGTTTAAATCCATGTTCCATTTAATTTGTATCAAATTGCTCATACAAAAAGATCATGATACTTCAATTTAGGATTGTTTAACACTAAAGCAACTAATAAAATGTCTTTTCCAAACCTCAAACTCAAAAAAGTTCATAATATCATTGTATGTAGACAGACTATACAGCTTAACGCCATCACGTGTAGTCTTCAAGGCTCTCATATTTTACATTGAATCTGAATGTCAAGCTGAAAACACAGAGAAGCTGATTTACACTTCAGAACAAAGCCACAGTTAGAGACGATAACCAGACAATGCAACGATTATTACCAACAGGGACTCCCTGCGCATCACGTTCAATACACAACTTTGCACTGTTTTTCTTTCAGAACAATACCTGGAACACTTACAGAGAGTCGACAACTTTCAATGCTACCCATTGCTATCCCACACTCCTTTGAACCCTTTTCTGCGTGACTAGGGTTCGGTGATGGCTCAGTATTTGCAAACTTGCGGACGACCAACAAATATAACATTTACAGACAATTGAAAATGCCCCATCTGTCAAATACCATTTCAAATTTCAGTTTTTAAGCGATTCTGTCAGATAATACTGAAGTTTAAGCTATGTAGGAGAGACTACTGTTATAATGTGTTAAAATTTTCAGTCTAGTTCACGTCTACTTACAGAGGACTCTTTAAACATGATTCCATTCTTTGGTTCAATTGAGTAACTGTAGCATTATTAGTTACAGTAGTTGGTTATGTTTCTGAACTAATAATGCAAATGCCTAGACTAATAAGAGATTATGGGCACAATCCCAATATGATGCTTTTCAAAATTGGTATTTCATTAAATATAATTTTGGAAATACAGAAATGTTGATACACATGAAATTTGTTCACTGTGGCTCTTAAAGCCAATCTGACTTATGTCATAGACATTTACTGCATGTTGAGTTGAGACTTCTGTCCTTAGTCCAGAGGATATCCCATCTCAAGAAATTTCAGTCAGTGTTCTAATTGACTAGAAGGTCTCAGCAGTGAAACTAGAAACAGTGGCTACTGCAAGGAATATACCTAGTCCCTGAGTCTAAATGTTAAGGGCCCCGGGACACTAGTAAATGGTTTAGGAGAGGGTACATGCCCAGTAGTTATGGTGGGGAGGTGGAAGTGGGAAGGATGACAAGCGAAGGGTGTACTTGGAAAGGATGGTGGTGTAGGGAGCTATCTTTGGATGATCTGCAGCCCTGTTCATCCTTTTCTGCTCAAAGCTTGAGCGGGCCAGCCTGCTGAGTGTTCCCTCATTGTCAGTCTGCACTCACCAGCATTAAGATTGCAGCTAGTGACCCTTAATTAGCCATTTAAGGACTAGGCGGGAGTGGGTTGGTCATCCTAGATCTTGCCCATCCTCTGTAAAAGCTGAGAGAGGTAGGAGGCAGGCAGATAGGCAAAGGGACGGCAGCCTGGTGAATCCCACGGGACTTTGCAACAGGTGCTGATAAAATTCTGCCCATTTATATTTACAATCAATAATCAGCCTAGTAAATTATGTATTTGCATCATTCTGCCACAAAAACTGCAGATTACAGTCGTTCAAAGAGGAGAGTTATCACCACGATCCAGGGTGAACTGTAACCAATGATAAATATCAGCCTTGCCGGTAGCAGTGAAGCCCAATTCCTCATAATCTCTTAACTTGAATGCAATAAATATATTAAAATAGGTAAGAGAGAAACAGTTAATGTTTTGAGTCTAGGAGGATTTTTCTTCTGAAGAATTCTGAATTGGACTTGAAACGTTAAGTCTGTTTCTCTTTCCATAGACGCCAGACCTGCTGAGTTTCTCCAGTATTCTTCAGATTTCCAGCACTTGCAATATTTTGCTTTTAATTAAAGTAGTTTCCTGACATGCATCAGCACGAGTGTTTTAAAGAGTTGGGGAAAATACACTGAGAATGCCTACTATTGTTTCATTATAGGTTTTAACTGATGTTTTTCTACTTTATTCCTACACAGTGTGTTATATGGAAATAAAATCACAGAGCTCCCTAAAGGCCTTTTTGAGGGACTCTTCTCTCTGCAGTTACTGTAAGTATGTTTAATAATTTGCTGTGAAACAGTTTGGGGAAAGAAAATGTGCAACGTTTGGTGATTGTTCTTCAGTTCTTGAAAACTGCTAGTGGGCTCAATTTTAACTTCCTTGCCTGGGAGAAACTAAGGCAAGGGGTCAGATAAAATGGACAATGGACAGGGAACATATGTGCTATTTTCACAATTCCGTTTTTTACTGCGATTTTAAATGAAGCCAGTGGGGTCTTCTTTTGTGTAGAGATTGGGTTCCATTGGTTGTCTGTCTAAGGCCTGAACGGGCTATTATTTATGTCTTCTCTATTAGACATAGACATCAGCGACATCAGCCAACTAACCCAGCAAAGAAATGTTTCTTTACTTTTTAGTTTCACATGTCCAAAGAAAAGTAGGAACACTGTAGGAGCACTCACAAAGAAATCTTATAGTTTTAGTGTCCTGATATTTCTCCCAGCTCCCCTGACTGTGATCTCCTGTCCAATGACCTTAATTTGTGTTGTTGCCCATACCCTGTGTCCCTTGTGATGACTCCCTGCTGCCCAAATGCTTGCTGACAGATGGGTCCTTTTTAATGGGAAGGTGGCAGGCAGCATTATATTGAGGCTGGGCTCTTTGCAAAATAGTTCATAGAACCTTCCAACTGTCAGTCTCAGAAGGCCACAGATTTCCATTCGTACATTCCCAACTGGGAATAATTTCCTTTTTTAGGAATTCAATGGATATATCACCACTGTACACATGAATTTGTGTGAATTGTTTCCAAGGTACGGGTTTGTTGGATGAAGTTAAAGAATTATTCAGGCACCCACAGCAGCCATCACTGACCCTATCCAAGGAAGTGTTAGAAGCCTCGGATCTAGAAAGGAGAGGAGAAAGGTCCTTCCCCCGGAGAATGCAAGAGGAAGTCAGCTCAACATGCAGAGGAGAACCTCACTGTTTGGTGTTGTAATCTTCCACCTCACATGCATCTTCCTCTCTCATCTCTTGCTCCTTCTTAATCGGCTGTTCCTTTCCAGATACTTTCTGGAGGAGCATGTTATTGAAGAGTTCAGCAGACCAAAACAGTGACTGAGATCCTAATAGGATGGTGTTGCAGAGCACCCCCTGACCTGTTCAGGCATCAGAGCCAGTGCATTCTGAATCTCCCATTAACTGTGAATCTAATACCTTGCCCAGTCTTGGTAGAGAGCGTCTGTCCCCTGGATAAATGCACGGATATGCATCTGTCTGTGCAATGCCACAAAGCTCTGCCCTGACAAGGGCACAGATGGCTATGACCGTCTGCTTAGAAAATCACGTTCTCCTTTGCCAATGGTTTTGAGTTATTGGCAGATCTCTTCACCCCTGTCTGTACATCTTATTCACAGGGTACGTCCTCCTTGTTCCTTGTGCTCCAGATCCCCGTTGTCTGGCTTCCTGATGCCCTAATGCTATCTCTATCAAGGCTGCTGTTTCTCATCTCCAGTCACCTCAATTTTTGAGGATGTAGCACCCATTCTTAACTACCTGGAGTTCAGGTTGTTGGCTTGCTCGCTGAGCTGGCTGGTTATCGTACAGGCGTTTCATCACCATGCTAGGTAACATCATCAGTACGGCCTCCGATGAAGCGATGTTGTTCTACTCTGCTTGGTGTTTATATGATCTGGCCTGTTAAGTTGGGTTGTGTCATTTCTAGTTCTGTTCTGCATGGGTTTGTATATGGGGTCTAATTCCACATGTTTGTTAATTGCATTTTGGGTTGAAATCCAGGCCTGTAGGAATTCCCGTGCATGTCTGTGGTTGGCTTGAGCTAGGATAGTCACATTGTCCCAGTTGAATTGATGGCCTTCATTGTCCGAGTGCACTGAGATGAGGGAAAGTTCATTGTGTTGTTTTGCTGCTAGCTGGTGTTTGTGTGTCCTGATGGCTAGTTTCCTTCCAATCTGGCCGATGGTTTGTTGCAGTCATTGCAAGGTATTTTGTAAACTACATTGGTTCTGCATGTCATGGGTATGGTGTCTTTGGTCCTTGTGAGTGTTTGTCATAGTGTAGCTGTGGGTTTGTGTGTTACCATGATTCCTAGTAGATGCAGGAGTCTTGTTGTCAGTTCTGATATGTTCTTCAGATAGGGTAGTGTGACCAGTGTATTGGAGCGTATTTGTGTCCTCCTGGCATTGTCTATTTAGTAGGCACCTGGAGATGAAGTTGTTGGGATATCCGTTGTTAGCAAAGACCTTGGACAGGTGCTCTTCCTCCTTTCTGCGTAGTTCTGGCATGTTGCAGTGAGTTGTGGCCCTTTTGAATAGCGTCCTAACACAGCTTTGTTTGTGGACATTTGGGCGAAAGCTGTGAAAATTGAAGATTTGGTTAGTGTGTGTTGACTTCCTACAAACTGTGGTTTGGAACTCCCTGTTGGTCAGTAATTCTACCCTGACATCAAGAAACGGAAGTTAATTGTGGTCTTCCTCTTCTTTCGTACCTGGAGCTCAGATGGTATCCAAATAAGTGTGCCCACTGCTCTGATGCCCACATGATGCCAGGAGGGCGGTCACTTCTTGAATTGGCAAAGTTCTTAATTCTGACGTGTCCCCCAATCTGTGATGGCTGCTACAATCATAAATCTAAAGGGGTCAGCCTTTCCATCAATGATAGGTCGTTACACTTGTCTTCAGAAACAGCTCTGGCCTCCTTGACTGGCTGTCAATTTGTCCATGACTGCCTTCAGCTGGTCAAAAGTAAGCAGTACCGAAACACCACCTGGTAAATGCAAAACATTCACAGAGATAACAAGGTGTAGAGCTGGATGAACACAGCAGGCCAAGCAAAATCAGAGGAGCAGGAAAGCTGACGTTTCAGGCCAAGTCCTCTGATACCGCTTGGCCTGCTGTGTTCATCCAGCTCTACACCTTGTTATCTCAGATTCTCCAACATCTGCAGTTCCTACTGTCTCTCAACATTCACAGAGATAGTTTTTTTTTCACAATCTCTGAACAAGTTTTTTGGAAGCACAGGTGAGTTCAAAGACCCATGTTCCCTTGAGGAAAGTATATGACACTGACAACTAAGGTGGGAAATCTAGATGTACAATATCCCCACCATTTCTTTCTAGTTGCCTGCCTCCATTCTGGCCCACATGGGATCCAGAAAGGCCTCACCTGTGAGTGTATAAGTGGTGCTGAGAGAGGGTGAGGGACAGTGAAACTCTGCTTTATTATGTGATGATGGTTCTTTCAGTGTAGGATGTAAATTTGTTTAATCTACAGCTTTTCTGTCAAAAATGTTAGGTTAGGATTTTGTAGAAGCTAACGCATGTTTTCTTAACTATTTGATACATGTTATTCAAGGCCTGCAATGGAAGGCTTATTTGAAGTTCAAATGACCCACATTGTGACCTGAGCAAGAGAGATGCACAAGACTTAACCAAAAGCCCCAATTTTTACCCCTCTTGCTTGACATGAATTGAGTCGGGGTGGGAAACAGTGTTGGTTGGAATTAAAATCAGAACTCTGCACTCAACCCACACTCTCTCCCGTTGGCATTTTAATTCCTGGCTTTTGAGAAGTGTCAGAGCTCTCCCATAGGTAAACAATGGCCTTACTCCGCTGGAAGGCTATGAAGTTATTAGGATCACACATCATTCTGTTGTATGGATTGTACTGAGCTGCAGAGCTTCCAGTGGAAGCTGGCAGCAAGCAGCCTCAACATGGACTCAGAAGAGGCCCAGAAATGTTAGGAAAAAATATGTATTTTTTCAGGTTTCATTATGGAATGAGTTGAGCAGTATTTCTCCTCCAGATCCACCAAAGGGAAGCATTGGCCTCCAGTGTCCTGGCCTACTGTTGCCCTCTAACATTGGTGATTGCCTGCAGATCCACTCACCACAAATGCCAGGCAGGATTTCATCCTGTTGAACTAAATCATGCTCCCACACAGCGATAAGGGCCAATCCCTCTGAGCTTGGATCAGAGCCTAACTTGAAAAATCGTAATGACACTTAAAAGTTAAAATGGACATTTCTTAACCACCAAAGATCCCATACACTACATTTCCAGAGTTTATTTAGGGCCCTTTTGTTTGTCCCTTCAAGATCTCCACTGAAGTTTTCACCCTCCTTACTGTTTCTTTTTAAACTAAAGTGAAATTGAAGTGCATAAAGCTGTTTAATTGTAGGTGTAGGGCTGGATGAACACAGCAGGCCAAGCAGCATCATAGGAGCAGAGAGGCTGACGTTTCGGGCCTAGACCCTTCATCAGAAAAGGGGGAGGGGAAGGGGGTTCTGAAATAAATAGGGAGAGAGTGGGAGGCGGATAGAAGAGGGATAGAGGAGAGGATAGGTGGAGAGGAAACAAACAGGTCAAAGAGGCGGGGATGGAGCCAGTAAAGGTGAGTGTAGGTAGGGAGTTAGGAAGGGGATAGGTCAGTCCAGGGAGGACGGACAGGAAGTGGCCCTAGAAATAGTCGATACATTGATGGTCATATGGATT